ATATTAGTAACTTTTCTTTATTATAATTTTTATTCGTATACAGTATGTATTTTTTAACCTTTTTCAATTGAATTTTAATTTCCTTGTTATCTTTTTAAAAAATAAGTTTTTATTGTCTTCTATTTTTACATCATCATAGTTATCAGTGTCTCTCTCCCTCTCCCACCTAAAGAACCATTCTAAATAATAACATAATCTTTTTAAGACAAAAAAGAAAAAGAGGGAAAAAATCAGCACAATTGATCAATATATTGAAAAAAATTTTTTAAAAAGTACAATGTATGACACCTGTAGTCCTCTCATCTCTGTGAAAGGGGTGGGTTGAGGGTGTTTTCTCATATCTCTTCATTTGGCTCATGCTTGGTCTTTATAATTTTGTTATATTTACTTTTTATTTTTTTGAATTGTCTTTGTACTTTCCTCTTACATTGGTGTAGTCACTGTGTAGCGTATTTTCTTGTCACAAGTTATTTTGCTATGCATCGGTTCATGTAGATTTTTCCATGCTTCTCTGTATTCCTCCAGCACATCATTTCTTACAGTGCAATAATATTTTTTTACACCCACAAACCACAATTTGTTTTGCTTCTTTTCTATCTCAACCCTAGAAATATGTTGCTGGTTTTTGTTCATTTTTGTTTTTAATTTCCCTTTTAGACTTTCATGGTTATTTGTCTTTGCCTTTGTGTCAACCTTAGATATGTGTTCAAGTTATTTTTGTAGGGTTCTCTGTTATCCAAATTTCCATATCTTTTTTTTTCCATGATTTTGAAATGATCATTTCTCATACCTTTGGTTCCGGTTAATAAAGGAATATCCAACTCTTACGTTTTTCTTTTTCCCTTTCAGTAACTTTCCAATTATCTGGAGGTCAGCTTTCTGATAGTTTCATATATTCAGAACTTAGCCATGAACCCAGACGTAAGGAAAAACAGTAAAAAACAAACAAAAAATGAAAAAACTAACCTCTGCTAACAACTGAAGTCTCTATTATAGAGTTCACGTACTTTATTCAGCACATATCACTGGCTTTATTCTATATACAACTGTAACATATTTTTGGTTATAAAGCTCAATTAGTAGCTTAGCCAGACTGCTAGTAAGAGATGGCAGACATCTTAATGCCAAGGATACTCAAGAATTTTAAAAAACGGAAAAAAAAACTATTATAATGTTTCTAATAAAAGCCTCTAATTTGAGGAAACTGAGACCTAGAAAAGTTAAATGACTTACTTGCCCAAGTTTGGAAAACAGAGAATAGTATTGCTAGATCAGGGAGTAGATCTCAGTTCTTAACCTAATACCTCTGCTTGTACAAATTAATCTGTCTCCTTTATAAAAACTGGGGACCTTAATGTAGGAGCTCATAGTTTCGTATTCCTCATTAGCTGCTAGAAGGCATTATTTTATTACTCAGGGTAATTAATTGATGTCTATAAGAGTGACTTTCACTTCCTGAAATTGTTGCATTGTAGTCTGTATGCCAAGTTTAAGATGATAAGGACATATTTGTTTGGGTTTAAGGGGTATATGTGTGTTTTGGGTGAGCCGAGGTACCATTTCCTAGATGCAGAGAGTTTTTAAAGTAGAAGCTCCTCCCATGGCACTTTATCTCTAATTTATAGTCTTAGAAAATTATTTGTGTACGCTGTGAGATTAAGGGATTTTCCCACTACAGCTAGTCAGTCTATGAATTACTAACAAGACTTAGAATCCATTTTTTCTTTGCTCTGAGACCCACCTTGCCTTCTATCCACTAAACTACCCCACTTCACGAAAATGTGGTTCATTTTAGAAAATATTCCATCAAAAATGTTGAAATAGTTTTTAGAATTTTTTGCTTTAAAGCAAGGATCAATTGTTGATTGGAAAATTTACTGGTTTGCACATTTCATATTGGCGATCATTATTCCAAGTGTGAGGGAAGAAAGCATCTACTGATGATAATACTTTACTAGGTATCAGGAGACATGGGTTCTAGTGTTGCCTTCACTAACTATATGTCTTAGTGGGGCAAGTTTGTCATTCTGTAGAATAGTAGATACTTGTTTTAGGATGCTAGTGTTGCAAAAATATGTAATAAAAAGGCAAGGGATGGGGGTCATTAAAAAAATATTTTGAGGATATGTTGACTTCAAGGAAGTTGGGTTAAGAGTCATGGCCTTAAAGGTATAATAAGTCTGGCTTTAGCTATATTGAGTTTGAGGTAAGGATGGAATAGCCACTTAGAAGTATCTGATATGCATTAAAAAAACTAAGACTGGAGCTTGTTCATGAAGAAGTGAAACAATACGTTCATGCTTGGTCCTTCTGACTTTTCAGGTACCAACTTAACAGAATGTTCCGTTTTAATATTTCTGGTGATAATCAGATAATAATGGCCACCAATTACATTTTGTACTGCACACACTATTTTTTCTTTCAGATAATGTATGACTTATGTGACTTGTGTGGTTTAGTTGTGTAACTCAACCCACCCACCCCCACCAGTTAAGTAGTGCAGTGGTTAGAGCACTGGGTTTGGAATCAGGAAGACATCTTCAGGAGTTCAAATGAGGCTTCAGATACTTACTGGCTGTGTGACCCTGAGCAAGTCAACCCTGTTTGCCTCAATTCCTCATCTGTAAAATGAGCTGGAGAAGGAAATGGCAAGCTACTCCAGTACCTATGCCAGGAAAACCCTAAATGGAGTCACAGAGAGTCAGACATGACTACAAAATGAGTAAAAAACAAAACAAAACAAAACAAACCTTGCCCTTTCCCTGTACACACATCCCTTCCCCCCACCTTGAAGTGAATGAAAGTAGGAAGAGAAAGAAACCTTTGTGTTTCATCTGATTTTCCAAGAAGACTATTAACATTATCCTCCTTGTGTAAAACCTGGGGGTTTTGTTTATTACTGTGGTTGTTATTAGTATCACTTAAAAAAAAAATTCAGGTATTATGTTGAAAGCAGGTTGGTTTTATTGTTGAAATGCTTTGAGTTAGAGTGCTAATTTAGTAAAAGATTTTTTTGATGGGTTTATCTCAAGTTATATTGTGCAGCCCTCTTTATCATGAATATTTAACCAATTTTCAATACGTATAAGTGGTTTAAGTATTACTTCCTGTTGAATTAGTAGCTGCTAAGCATTTTGAGTCTTTGTGCAGGCCTGCAATCCGCTAATGTGATATTTAATGAGGAGACATCAGTCTGGAGAAAGGTAGTCAATATAAATCAGTGTTTACAAAGTGTGATTAACTCTGAAATATTTCATCAATGCTGTGGTCCCAGGCAGACTCTATGCTAATTACTCGAATCTGCGCATGTTTCAGGGGACTTTGACGGACCCTGAGTGCTGCAAACACGGGAGCAGCAAAATTGCAATTATGCTCGGACTGTCTCTGATGACAATTTATGCATTTGGTGTGATGACCTCCTCCTTCCCAAGAGGACAATAAACAGAATGCATTTTCATTAAGATACTAATGTACTTAATAACAGGGGGAAAG